TCAACTTCTACCTTGGTAGGACTCAGCACAGAGCCCTGCATTCCCTGTTAGTTAGATCATCCCTGAATCCTGACCTTGGCCACTATCTTCCCCAAAGCCTGACAGCCCAGGCTGGTCACATCGTCACCCCAGGTCTGCTCCCAAGCAACATGTCCTCAGCCTCACTCCCCCTAGGCCCCCACTCATCAAAGCCCCACTCACACCTTGGAAGATGACCAGAGGGGAAGCCCCCAGCAGCAGGAGAGCCATCAGGACCTTGTCCATCTCAGTCTGGGTGGTGGAAGACCCAACAAAGCAGCCAGCGAGGACCAGTCAGGCTGCTCTCATGCAGGAGGAGAGCAGGCTGGAGACTCCGCTCTGGGTTGTGGCTAGGCCTGGGCAGCAGCTTCCTTTTACCCCCTTGCCAGTGGGTGTCTCACCACCACCAGGCTCGGGACAGCTTCCCACACAGGCAGTTCCTTGGAGCTTCTGGAGCAAAGGGTGCCCGGGAGCCCAGCCTGTTCCTGTGCAGGGGAAATCCAGGTGGCTCACTCCCCTGTCCGCCCTCTGTGAGGCTGTGCTCACTGCCAGGACTGTGGTGCTCCAACTGCTGATGGTGTGGGCAGTGGGGTCGGGGGGGCAGTTGGCTGTCACATCAGACACTGGGTCAGTATGACGGCTTGTTACAGGGGCCCAAAATGGGGATGCTAAATGACTATAACTGCTCCACTTGTATGTCTAATACCATCCATGAATCACTTAGAAACTTTATCAGTTAAGTCTTGGCCAGCAAATGCCATGGTCACCTAGCAGCAGAATATCTTCTCCCAGATTCCTGGCTGCCCTCCCTTCATCCGCTTTCCAACATAAAGCTTCCCAAGCGTGTTTTACGCTGTCCCTGTATCTGTTTTTCTAGGTGAACAATGACAGTTTCCAACGACAGCATTATGCTGACCGGTGCATGGCCCAAGATCGTTTGAAAATTTCATGGCTATTGAGAAGTCAAGAAGTCTGGGGGTACATGAGGAACTGGGGGCTCGGTGGATTCCATGTGTTAAATTTATCCTGAGCCCATGAAGGCATCCCTTAGAGTCCTAAGTTCAGGAAAAGCTAACAGTCCTGTTTCGTTTCTTTAGTCCAAGATGAATTACTTAACTATCGTTTTATTCCCCAAAGTGTCCTGGGCATGGGGCACCACATGGCCAGTCCACAGACTTCTGGCACTGGCTCTCTCTTAGATCGGGAGTCTTCTCCTCTCAGACAGTGGGTGTCCAGAATCACGTGCTCCTCCAGTCCCAGGTGGCCCATTTGGGTTTCCCTGCAACGTCTGTTGGCTGGGATCCAACAGGAGCGTGTTCTGTCCAGAACAGACTCCAACTCTGACCCAGTAGCTTTAAAACCTGATGCTAGCACTCACTGGCTCAGGATCTGGTAATGAGTTATCACATCTATAAATTCTTGCTTTATCTAAGAAAACAGAAAAGCTAATGACACTTAAATCCTAAAGTCAGAAATGTATGAGATTATTGTCCATAAATTTCTTAGTAAACTTGGAGTACAATAATTTGTTAGTCTTGTTTCTTGTGTTATTCTTTGCTCTTTTTTTCTACTTTATTATAAAGAAAAACATGTCCCACTTGGGGGGAGCTGTTTATTGAACCCAGCACTTTGCTAATGCCAAACATGTGATATACCCACTGAGTTATACTTCCTGCCGCAAATTTGTATTTAAAATTGGAACTGGCAAATAAAGAAAGCTTCAGTATGGGGACACCCTTCTCTTTTGTGAACTCTGGCCTAAAAGCAACTCTTCCAGGACTGGGGAGATAGTTCAGCAGTCTAAGTGCCTGCCTGGAAAGCACAAGGACAAGGGTTCGATCCCCCGTACAGCATACAGTGCCGCTGTGCCAGCCACTGAAACCAGGCGTGGTGGTGTATACCACCTATAATCCCAGCACCGTGGAGGCTGAGGCAGGAGGGTCACTATGAGTCCAAGCTGTGTAGTGAAACCCTGTACCAAATCAATCAATCAATCAATAAATAAATAAAAGGGGTTTTTTATTTAAAAATAATTTTTTAAAGTATCTCTTCCAAGGCCACACCACCCCAGTGCACACACACGCCCTTGAAGTCCTCTACACCTTGATGACTTTTACAGCCACATCTATTCCCTTTTCCACACACAGAGCAGAGCTTGCTTTGCCTCAGCCCAGCTGCCTCTCACCCCTGTTTATTCTGAGCAGTCATGGTCCCTGCCCAAGGCTATAGGACAAGGTGAGCAGCACTTTGCTTCCAAATGACTTCTGGTTCAAGAACACTGTGATATAGCACTACTGGACTGAATGTGTTGGAAAACTAGTCCAAGTACCACCGTGTACGACCCGTAAGATGAATGGATTAATGTTAACATCCTGGGAATAGGGTTGCTTCTGTCCCAGAAACAACTGCCTCTGGGTCCCTCTTGCTTTCTCTTGTTCCCTCGCCCTTCACCTTCCTCCATGGATGACACACACCAAGGCCCTCACCAGACAAGGGTCTCTTGAACTCAGACTTCCTCGCCTCCAGAACTGTAGGACAAATATGTTTCTATTCCTCATAAGTTACCTAGTCTGTGATATTCTATTGCAATTTCACATAACAGACATAACAGGGCTGATGAGCGGATTTACTATCACAGGTACCTTCATAAATTTTCTACTGTGCTAGGTAGGGGATGTGGCATGGCCTTCTGCTAACCTGGTCGGGATTCCCCGGGTGTGTGTGTTTAGTGGGCAATGTGCACTGTGGAGAAGCACTTTCCTGGAACTGGTAATGGCCACCATATTGATCGGTCCATGGGCCTGCCGCCGTGCACTGTCCTGTTGCCCGACCGCACACATCACCATCAGCTCCTCCGGAGCAGCCTCACCTCCTGGAGAATTTTCTGCCTGGGATCCTTTTTTCTGCCTCTTGCTCTGTAGCCTCAACTCTCCTAAGTCATGTGTGAGCTCGAGCTTTGCCTGAGAGTAGTGGGCAGGGAATAGGAGCAATGGAGTGAGGCAGGCCTGAGCTCAGGGACCCCAGGCCCTGTGAGCCGAGTCACCTGCGTATATCATGAGGAACAATTTCTCCCAGGAGCCGTCTTCAAGACCACCCCCTCAGGTTTCCTCACCAGTTGAAGAAAAAGAGGGTTTGCTCTAAGGGACCCGCCCAGAAGGAAAATGCAGTGGAGCCTGTGACAGTCCTGGAATAAGAGTCAGTAGTGGGCCAGCCTGAGTTTACCAACAGGCTCAGATCAAAGGCCCACTCTGCACAGTCCAGCCCAGCCTCCCCAGGGGGCTAGCATAGACCCGCACCCAGGAAGAGTGACCCTCAGAGTCATTCCTGCTCACAGGATCTCCTTCCTGAGGATGCTGGACAAGCTGCTGGTGCGGAGCACGGCTCAGCTCCAGCTCCGACCACTGACCACGGTTGTTTTTGTTATTTAATTCATGGTTGTTTTTGTTATTTTTTAAACTGTCTACAATGAGCAGGGGTTTATTTGTTTGTTTGTTTTGGTATTGGGGATCAAACTCAGGACTTTGCACTGGCCAACGTTACCAGGTTTTTGTATGTGTTTATATGTGAGTATAGACTATTTTCGGAGCAGTTTTGAGTTCACAGAAAAATTGAGTGGAAAGTACAAAGGTGTACATCTTCTGTCCCCACGCAGCCTCCCTCACTATCAACATCCTGTACCCCTGTTACAATTCATGAACTGTCACCAAAGTCCATGGTTTGTGCTTGGGCGCACTCTGGCTCTTGGACATTCTGATATACAAAGACACTTACTTGCTACACACAAGCTGCCAGGGCTACTTGTTACCAAATCAGGTCCACTTTCCCTGCCACGCGGTATCCGTTCACTAAAGCAAAGAGCTTTGCAGAGGGGACAGTTATTCATGAGGCAATCAAGCGTAGAAGTAGGAGGCCTAACCTCAAATTCACCTTCCCAAGAACAGGAGTGGGGATGTGTGGAGGACACGGAAGAAGGGTGATGTAAGGCATGGGAAGTTGTGTGTGAGATAGTGACTGATGTGTGTGCAATCAAATTTCTTTTTTATTATTTTTAAAGAGAATAAAGAGAAAAAAAATAGAAATGATACAGACAGCAACGGAGATAACTCAGTGGTCTAAGTGTCTGCCTAGGGTTTTGATCCCTACTACTGTACACTGTGCCAGCCCCGTCCCAGGCCCATAGAACTGGCCACCAAGTCCAGGCATGTCCGTAATCCCAGCGCTGGGAAGGCTGAAACAGAAAGATCACTACAAGTCTGAGCTGTGTAGTGAGACCTTGAACCAAATACATAAATTTTTTTAAGAGAAAGAAATGATGTAGAATTTCACTAAACAAGTAATAGGTATTAAACAATGGTGGTTATATTGTATATTGTTGTCTTCAAATTAGTTGTTCAGATTAGCAGATATAAACATGCAAAACCAGTCAAAAAGTTATAAAAATTTAAAGAGGAGAGGGGAAAAAACAAAACAAAACAAAACACTAACTGCTCCTCTCAATAAACCAGCAGAAGTTAGTTATACAATTGTCCAAGACATCCTGTATATATACATAAATATATCCTTCCTTCCTTCCTTCCTTTCTTTCTCTTTCTTTCTTTCTTTCTTTCTTTCATTCATTCATTCATTCATTCTTTCCCTTATCCCTTCCCTTTGTCCCTTCCCTTTGAATAGATTTTTTTCTCTTTCACAGTATCTATTATAACTTTCAGATTTCATCTACTCTTTCAGGTTTGTACACTAGCAAGACAATAATGTGGTCTGATTTATTTCACTTATGAATATGGTCTTGCGTTGCATCCATTTACCTGTAAAAGCCTTGAGTCTATCATTGGGATAGCTGAGTAATACTCCATTGTACAAAAATGCCACATCTTCTTTATCCATTCCCCAGGTGATGGGTGTTTGGGTTGTTTCAAGGTTACGCTATGACAAATTGTGCTACAAAGTCTCTCTAAAACACTGTAAGTTCTGATTTCAGGTCCCTCCGTCATGCTGACTCCCTGGACTAAGACCAGCCAAGCTGACCTCTGTGACCTAGTGAATGTGGGTTTGCTTATCGTTTCTACTTGTGGCCGAGCTTTTGTGTTAATACAGAGAGAAATAACAAAACTCAGACCTAGCCAGAGTCAACTTTCGTCTCTTGCCTTTCTGTTCTCATTACCTAAAAAACATCCATGACAAACATACTTAATATCAATAATTCAAACATTAAAATTTGTTTGTTAAAACTTTTCTTGGAAATAAAATGTTTCAAATCAAACAGAAGCACATGCTAGTGGAGAAAGATATTCTTTTTTGCAGAGCCGGGGCTTGAACCCAGGCCCTCACATATTCTAAGCAAGTGCCCTACCGCTGGGCTGCACTGTAACCCTTTTAAAAATTTTATTGTGAAACAAGATCTCACTATGTTGCCCAAGCTGCCCTTGAGCTTGCCTTCTTCTTCCCTCTACCCCCCAGGTAGCTGGGCTTATGGGCAGGCATCACCACTCAGCTCTAAACTGGGGAAAGACTTGTTTAATGGATTCAGTAATAAAGTAATGAGAACATCCTCCATTTTCATATTAACATCTATTTTAGAAGTGGTTGTTTGTTTGTTTGGCTGGCTGGCTGGCTGGCTCAGGAATGCCTTCAGGGCAGGTGTGGGGAATAGACCCACAGCATCCTGATTGCTTTGTTGAAGCAGTCACTTAAACAACTGAGCTAATGGGCAGGCCCCCAAAAGTTCAGAAGGGTTTTGTTTTGTTTTTTTAACCTCTATTTTAAAAGATATAGAGAAAGAAGGAAATGAAAAAAAATAAGTAAATAAATAAAAAGAAGGGAATGGAAGACAAGAGAGAAAAACAATGGAAAGAAATATGAGTAATATAAAACATAATCAAGACAAGAACAGAGAGGGGGGAGAGAAGAGAGATGGGAGGGAGGGAGGGAGAGAGACAGAGAGAGAGAGAGAGAGAGAGAGAGAGAGACAGACAGAGACAGAGACAGAGAGACAGAGAGAGACAGAGAGAGACAGAGAGAGAATAAAGTTTCAAAAATAATGAAAGATGAAGTAGGGAGCCCTACATTCATAAGATAACTCTACGTTAATGAAAAGAAAGAACAAGAGCAGACAGAAATTTGCCAAAGCTTCTTCAGAAAGCTGGCCACATGCACTCTCTCTATGTCCTGCCTTCACTAAACCCAGCTGCACACATGCTAAGTAAGCATTTTGCCACTCAGCTACATCTCCGTATCTCCAGCCTTTGCTTAGTATTTGGCTCCTTTCTTTAAAAAAAAAAAAAAGTATTTATTTTGAAACAGAGTCTTTCTATGTGGTTCAGGCTGGCCTTTAACTCATCATGTGTCCCAAGCTGGCCTAAACCTCACAGTGATCCTCCTGCCTCAGCTTTCACAAACTCTAGCCTTATTCCTAAATGCTGGGATTGCAGGCATGCACCATCACACCCAATTTTCAGTTCACTCTAATCGGCTTTCCGCCTCCTCTTTCCAGGTGAACTTCCTCTGACCAATGTCATCGATGATGACTAGGGTCACCCTCATCAAATAGTGTCTAAGTCCTTGGACAATGTTAACTCATCAATACCTCTTAGAATTTCTGGGTGTTTTGAACTCTAGATGCTGTTCCTTTGGGTTATCCTTCTGATCTGACTAGCACCCCGCATTCTTTGGGTGTTTTCTTCATCAAAACCTTTAACTTTAGTATTTATTAGCATTCCATACTGTTCCTACTGCTCATCACTCAGTTCCAAGGACAACAGCTGTCTTAGCTTCTTCTCTTGTTGCTAGGACAAAAATACCTGACACCCAGAATTAAGGAAAGGTTTATTAAGCTCACAGTTAGTGAAAGTTTCAGTCCTTACTCAGCTAGCTCCAAGGCCATGGCAGACAGCGTGGCACATGGCAGACAGCAACATTTTGTGGTGGCAGAAAACAGTAAAGAGCAAAGGGAGGAGCAGTGGCTGGGGCAGCTAACAAGCCCCTCTCCCCTCCTTATACTGTAATGCAGATTACCCACCCCAGGGTGGATGTAGCACTCACAGCCATAATCCCAGCCTTGGTTCATGAATTAATCACAAACTCTAGAAGCTGCTGCATGATTGCATGATACTTTGGGGGTGGGGGACAACTAGACACAAACCATAACAACAGCCTAACTGTCATTATTTTAGCAGTCAATGTGCCCATAGTCTGCAAATATCTATTTATAATCCAAATCTAGCAGTGTGATGTGTGAAATTATCCCAACATTTACACTTCTTTTCCATCTACCTGGCAAACAATCAATCTATTATCTTTTCTGAGAAATTTTCCTCTTTCTGATTTGGTCTGATTAGAAAACAAGAAGTGATATAAGTGAGAAAATAAACTGAGTGAGTGTGAGAATATGGGAATTAGAGATAGAAATGGTTCTTTTGACCCATAATAGAAAAGAAGCTGAGAAGCAGAACAAAAAAAGAATGGAGGGTGTCTGTCAGTGTGCAGGGAAGAGCTAGTGGCTGTGGAGAGAAAGCCTGCGTGAAGCCAAAAAGAATGCATTTGATGCAGTGGGAAGACTCTGCAGGCGAGGGGACATATCGGGAGCAAGGGAGCCAGGTAGCATCTCAGGCCCTGGAAAGCAAAAAGAATCACCCATTACTTCTTGCAGTCAGTTCCCTTTGCTTATGGAATTTGGCCACTTAATTTTTTTTAAGAGGCCACGCGCGCTGAGGTTGGGGCCCCGAAGGCAGGTGCTGGCGCACAGGTGCTGGCTGTGTGAACGAGGACCCATCTGGGTTAGGCCACAGTTAGAGTTTTCAGAGAGCTCAGCATGAGCCTGCAGAATTCCTCACACTGAGCTGAGGTGCACGAATTCCTCCGTTATGTTACTTCTGAGGGAGCTTCAGGATCCAGGCAGGGCGCTTCTATACTGGTTTTTGCATCCGGTTCACTGTGAATAACCCTAATGAGATTCAAAGGTCCCTGGCTGGTAACATCAGTGCAACAATACATCTAAATCTTGGAAGCAGCTTATATATTATAAACAAATGAACAGATAAAGACATGTGCTATTTACACACTCTGGAGTACTACTATCCCATAAAGAAAGATAAACTTAGGTCATTTGTTAAAAAAAAAAAAATGGATGCACCTTGAGACCATAATGTCAAGTGAAATAAATCAGACACAGAAGCTTAAATATCACTTGGCTTATCAAGAAAACCCGAAGTATAAATGAGTTAAAGAACAAAATAAAAGATACATAATAGGAAACAGGAAAGAAATTTTGCAAATGGGAGGGAGACCTAGAGACAGAGGGGCAGGGAGGAGAGGGGAAGCGGACATGACAGGAGTTAAGATGTGTTGTGGACATGCGCACATACTTGGTGAATGTCATTACTATGTGCTGTAAATGTGCTACTGAAAATGGGAAAAAAAAATAATTACAGCAGGAGAGGTCGGAGCAGAGAGAAGATAAGTCAAAAGGAAATGGAAAGAAACTTCAGTTCAGACTGCCTGCCAGCCAAGGGGTCCTGGGGGGATGAAGCATATGGAACCCCGGAACTGGCCAGAGCCACCAAGGGTGACGTTGGAGCTAAAATCCAAACAGGCTTCTGCTGCCTGACCAAGCCCTCTCCAGGGTCCCTGTCTCGACCAGTCACTCCCCGGTGTCTTGTTCTCTAGTGTGCTCAGTCGAGCCTGAGCCACTGCGCCCCTCCAGCCATGCGCAGTGTGCAGATCACTCCGCTGCGTGCACCCCACGTGACCACCGCCTCCTTCTGCAGACCAGCCCTCCTGAGATCCAAGATGGCGGCCAGCAGGAGCCCGATGAAGCAGCTTGAAGAGATCCGCAAATGTTGAATGAAAAACTTCCATAACATCCAGGTTGATGAAGCTAATTTATTGCCTTGGCAAGGGCTTACTGTTCCTAGCAACCCTCCATATGATAAGGGGGCCTTTAGAATTGAAATCAACTTTCCAGCAGAGCATCCATTCAAACTACCAAAGATCACATTTAAAACAAAGATCTGTCATCCAAACATTGATGAAAAAGGGCAAGTTTGCCTGCCCATAATTAGTGCTGAGAACTGGGAGCCAGAGACCAAGACTGACCAAGGAGTCCAGTCCCTCATAGCACTGGTGAATGACCCCCAGCCTGAGCACACGCTCCGGGCTGACCTAGCTGAAGAATACTCTAAGGACCGTAAAAAATTCTGTAAGAATGCTGAAGAGTTTACAAAGAAATATGGGGAAAAGTGACCTTTGGACTAACATCTGCCACAAATGATTCCAGCTAGTGTGAGCAGAGACCCCGCGTAGTGCATTCTGACAGCCTGCACAGCAGGACTCTGTGGAAAACTGACAGGCGCCACCACCTGGCATTCACTTGTGGCAGTTACTAACTTTCTACAGTTTTCTTAATCAAAAATGATCTAGTAACCTTTAAAAAAGGATTAAAAACTTCAGATAGTCTTAAAAAAAAAAAAAAAAAAAAAAACAGCTCTCCCCCAGGGGGCTGTGATGTCACACACTGTAGGCTACAGCTGCCAGCACCAGCCTCCCAGGGGGAAAGCAAGAGATGCCAGGTCCAAAGCGGTCCCATGATAAGACCTACTTTATCAAAGCAATTTCCCAATATTGATTCATCAAACTCCCCTCCAGGGGAAACTTCACCTCCTCGAGGTTCATTTTCCTTTTGTTTCCTTTTCTTAAAAACTATGTCACCTTCCATAGGCATCAAGAAAGCGCAATGAATAGTTGGGAATGTTTAATGTAATGTGCTTACAAAGGGACCTTACATACGAGTCCATCTCAGTCCTTTTAAAAAATGCAAGCTAAAATTATTACTTCACTTCTTTTACTACTTCTGTGGTGTTCTGAGCATATTCTTGGGGTCTGTTCTTCCTCTCTCCCCATCCCACCCCACACACACCTCACTTCACATCAGTACTTTCCTTACAACTCCCCTGAGCTCACCCTCATTCTTCCCCACTTGGGCCCAGAGAGGTCATCATCGTCATCCCTGAAAGTGTCCTGACTCCTGAGTAGTCTCACGTTCCTCCCCTGACGCACAGCGCAGAGCTCCTGGGCACCCTCATTCCTTGCCTCTGCCTCAGTCTGCGGTGGGAGATACTTTCAAGGATCTGTGAGAACTGGGTGGGGCTGACCCTGAACGCCAAGCCATGGCGCTCTCCAAGGTACTGAAGAAAAGAAGACTTGAGACGCCCGTAAACTAGCCTGCAGGGAGCTGCCTAACTGCAGCAAGCCTCCACACCTCTGAGAGCCGGCAGGGAACTCACGGGTCATCCAGACCAACTTCCCTCCCGCTGTAAACAGTCTCTTCTCCATGTTCTCTTACTGGGACCAGCAGAATCCTTCTGTCCTCCAGACCCACCACAGTCCCCGTCGAATCTCCAGTGCAGGCTGCATCCAGCACAGCATGAGGTAGATAAGGGCACAAGCTCTGCAATGCATTGGACGTGGACCCAAATCCTGAGCCCAGCGCTAACAACCCTGGCCCACCTCCTTAACTTCCCTGGAAACACTTCTTGTCCCTTGTGATGAGTGAAAGCAGTAAAACAACCTATCGATGAAGATTTTGCCAGGATTAAATAAGAAGATAGCTTCTACTTGCTCAATAAGAGACAGCCATATTGTTACTTGTGTCATGGCTGTTACCTTTATTTCCCTAGCACAATTCCCAGATAAAACTGGGACTTGGAAGAAGCTGAAGATTGAATAGAGTGGCCCTTCCCCAGTCTCCCCTCCTATTCATCTAGTGTTTTTGATATCTTCTCCTTCTCCCACATACACAAACACCTCTACCTAGTGGCACTTCTTTTTCCTCCTCACATTACAAAAGCCAAATCCTGCTTTCTCTTGGCTCGGCCTCCTCCCTGCCCTCCCATCTCCCACCACATGCTTTTCCATCTCACTCCCATCCTAGTCAGCCTAGAGCTAAAAGATAAGATGGATATAGAGGCTGCTGTTGAAAGAATCAGACAGCCAAAGCAGGGACTGATATGGAGGAACCCCAAGCAGGGTGGGGTCTACTTCATCTACTGAAACCCCTGATCTGAGCCTCTGTGCCTCTCCTGCCCTGCTCTGGCTCCATGTAACCCCACTCCCCTGCAGGCCCCTTAGCTTGGTGTTCCTAGCCTCACACTGTTGCAGCCAAGACTTCCAAGTGGTATGTGAGGTACACATTGCTGCACATGGTCACAGCTGGGAGGGTGAGGGGAGGACAACTGCAACAGGCCAGAAGAGTTCCTAGAAGGAGAAGCAAGTGAGGCCCTCAGACTAGGGCCTGGAGTCTTTGGCTTAGTCTCCTGACTGGTGTCAGCACAAGCCTCCACTGCTCTGTCCTGGGTAAGAGCAGAAGTGCTCCGAGAGACCCTTCTGCTCCGGCTTCATCCCCATCTTCCTTTTCTTTCCCTCCTGCAGTCACTGCCCACTGTAAAATGGACTGAGTTGTCCCACAAACCTCACCTTCAAAAGAGGGAGGCCATGGGGTGGGGGCTGTCATGATAGGAATGGTGCCTTGACAAAAGAGCAGAGCCCACTCGCTCTCACCCACTTCACTTGAAGACACGGGAGAAGGCAGTCGCTGCAAGCCAGGAACGGGGCCCTCTTCTGGAGCTGACTCAGCTCCCTCCTTGATCTCCAGGACTGTGGGAGAGCAAAGCTCTGCGGTGTATGCCACCCAGCTATGGTACTTAGCTACACATCCAGGACTCCATCCAGTGATTATGGGGAACAGTTTGCTCTGTGGCTCGCCTTTGCTGCAATCTGGGCCATAAAGTGTCTTCCCCTTTCAATGACCCCTTTCCTTCCTGTCCCTGGAAGAGGTGAGGAAACTGAATCTAACTTCTCGAGGACAATGAGGGAAAAAGTCCCCAAAGGTCTTGGCCCCAACCTCTCCAAAGTCAGTGTTAGACAAGGTCCTGGGAATCTGGGTTGTGGAGCCCAGCCCGGGGAAAACTCAGCTCGTGAGGCCAGGGCATGCTGTCAGGGCGCGGAGTCACTGTGCTGCAGGTGGGCATGGAGTACCAGAAATGGAGCCAAAGTTTCTCTGGAGGGTGCAGGAGTTCTCTCAGGCCGTGGTGATGCAGGACCATAGACTGGAGGCCTTAAACAGATGGTCAGGGGCCAGCAGGGTTGTTTCTGTGAGGCCTCTCCTCCTGGACCGTAGGTGGCACCTTCTGTGTCCTCATATGGCATCTGTTCTGTGTACATATAAAGGCAACAGCTCCAGTGTCTCGTCCTTAATTACGTATTCATTCATTCATTCATTCATTTATGAGACAGGGTCTCACTACATAGCTCAGGCTGGTGTTGCACTCACTATGTAGCCTAATTTTGTGGCAATCCTCCTGCCTCAGCCTCCCTGGTGCTGAGATCACAGGCATGTGTCACCGTGCCCAGATCTTTCCCTTTCTATAGGGCCACCAGTCCAGTAGGAGTAGGGACTGACCAGGATAATACTGATTACATCCTGCTAAGCCCCATCTCCAAATATAGTCACATTGAGTGTTAGGGTTCCAACACGAACTGGGGGGAATATAGTTCACTTTGAAGCAGAGGAGTTGGCGTAGTTCTGTTGCTTCTGCACCCCAAAGTTCAGAAAAGGCCAAGGCCTGCTGTTCTACATGCTCAGCCAGGCCCCTAACCACCTGGGGAAAAGACCTCTTTCAAAATCATGTACTGCAGGGCACCCTTTCACATGCAATACTTTTGTACACAAAACACACAGACAACCAGCTTAGGAGCACACAGCCATAAACCCAGCACTCAGGCAGATTATGCAGGATTGCTGCCAGCGTGAGGCCGACCCGGGTTACAAAGTGAGACCCTGTCTCAAAAAAAAAAAAAAAAAAAAAGGACACACACATGCACACACACACCCATATACACACATGCATGAATGCACCTGCATGTTTCCACATTTGAAAATGTGTAGAGGTTTTCATAGCCAGGTGTGAACACTGGTTACCACTGTGTGATATGATTATGGGTATTTTTCATTTC